TGAATTACTGGTAACTATACAGTAAAGTAACATAATAATAACAATAGCATGATATCGGCTAATTTTTCATCAATGAGCCGTGCATGGAGAAGCCATAGGGGAGTAGTCACTGAGTAATATGTATGCATTCAGCAAGTGCCCAAATGCCAATCATGCCCTGAACGAGGACAAAGCATCGTCAATCTGTCCTATTTTACCATGTACTGTCGATTCACTGCTCTCTGCAAACCCGGGTAAATCTGGGTAATCCGTGCAGCACGGAGGACCTATAAGCCGAGCACGCGCTGCTGGGGTCAGCCAGGTAGGTAGACGTACTCGCTCATATCCCCCAGTCAGGCTGGTCACCGGTAGGAAATGAGTGGGATTGTAGAATATAAGAATATTTTGTTGATAGCTGATGAGCATCGTAATGTTATCAATCATATGCTGTGTGGGCATGAACTTCCCAATCGCAAAAACACGTATACAAGACCAAAACACGTATACCATGTCTGCTTTGTAGGCTGCCATTTGTGAGGCACTGAGTGTCCAGCTCAACTCCATGGAGAATTTGAGCTGAATTACTTTTGACCCACCTCTCTCTGAAGGGAAATAAAGCTTCACCCCGGGCCACTGAAAATTCATGGCTCTGTCTGTGACTACCTATTCCAATAGTTTGCCAGTGGAATCCAGTCATTTGCCAGTGATACATATGTAGTCATCAAAACCGTGGTTAGTCAAACTTTCTAGAGCAAGTTGCGATTCAATCATTCAGATCATACTCAATACCTACTCATGCATAGCTTCATAACTTTAGCTTTATTCAGCAAAAAGTAGGCGCCATACCTGCAACGGGAAGCATGCCGTTCAGGCACCTCCGGGCAGTGTGCGCAGCTCAAGCATACATATCAACAACAATCATCACAAGTGAAGAATCTATTTACTCCCTTTATTCACCATACAGGGGTTATTGCAATGCGCGGCACATACTTGCATACTTTCGTAGGGGTCACTGCGACCCATACCTATTGCGCTAGTCCCAACCTATCAGCGGTTGAGTGCTGCTTTCCTCCCAAAAGGTGCAATTCAGACCACTAATGGAAACCGTATCAAACAGCAAATCCAATCAGATGTACGAACCGATTCCAGGGAAACATGCTATCCGCACAAAGCAACATTGTCGTTTAGCAGTAATGAGTTGAATCCTCCGTAAGGTAGTGAGGTGTTCGCCTATTAGCAATATCTGTCATCTCGTATAAACCTTGCGGCTATCCCGCTGTGACCCGCTGAACCGTTCAGTGTTCAGGTGTTGTGCCTGCGAGCACGCCAGGCTTTCAGGCTGATGAGACGAGGGGATACGTTCCATTACCAGATGCGTCTCGTGTTAAATGGAGGTATTGCACAGTTCAGCGGTCACGCCCCACGGAGGCCCTCCACTGAGAACGCGGCACAAATTAATCTTACGAATGAATTATTACAACGAAAATATGGTATCTTTTTAAGGAAATCGGTACCGCGTCACCCGTAAATAGGAGGAAGTTTGATTTAACTACCTTTCCAGGACGACAGACACGTATATTTAGCTTTTCAGTGGCCATAGAATAGACACCAACACTCAACAGGGGCTGTAAAAGAGCTGGGATTGTGTTTAAATATTGTGGGTTTAACGATCCTGGCCATGTAGCGACATCGCGTAAAAACCCATCAAAAACCGTATCTCAAATACCATGAAAATAGCATACCAGGCTAAAGGTCAAGGCACCCATATCCATCAATGTTAAATCATATCAATCAATGTTTGCATTTCCCTTGTCTTTTCACTCGTGTATTTCTTATCATTTGAAGTTTTGCTGATTCTAATAGGACCTTCGACGCCAGTGGTGGCCGATGCGACCTTAATGATGAAATCTGGAATTTCCTTGGTCGAGAGGTCCTACTCCCTCATGAAAAATTGACATGACCTTGACTTCATTGTAAATGAGAAGGATTACATACGGACGACCGATCCAACACTGTCCTTGGACGGACAAGAGCTGTGACCATGTCAACACCTCGTGTGTCCAACTGTTTAGTGCGAATCGAGCAAAGTTTCAGTTTGCTTCTGTCAATGTCCATCAGACCAATTTTGATTGATGTTGACAAGGCTTCTAGAACTTGTAAATTGCGACGTTCGGCTCTGCCAGCTTCCCAGGAACGTCACAAACAATTGCAAGCATCAGTGACAAAATGTTGTAGGTATAGTTTAAGCTCTTCTATTGTAACAAAAAGGCTTCACTTTTGATATATTTTTTGCTTGATTGCTTCGTGCATTGACGGCGGAAGTTGAGTAGCATAACGAACATACATCACATTGAGGAGTTAACCAATGGTCACTGCTAAGCTGCTCCTGTCTAAAACATTTGTGCTGAGGCAAGGATTTGTAAGTCAATGAAAACCTAGCCATCTGCCCACTGAACCAATGTAAGTGCGTCGGTTCCCGAGTTCTCTCAACTTCGATAATCCTCCCTTCATGGGATTTCAGAGGCTGTTCCAGTAAGGCGGTTTCAGCTCTAGAATGGTCGTTCCTGAAGCGAATTCTCTCCCAAGGCTGCCCATTGAGGTTTGGTATGCATTGCGTGCATCTGAATAGGTCGCGATGGACAGATATCATATCTGGTCGGAGGTGAACTGATGCGCTCACTTCCCTGCTTAATCTCCAAATGCTAATTAGCATCCACGTATCACGGAACGTCTACCAGACTTGACACGTCCTGACACATCCAAAATCTGCATCGCCGTGCCAAATGTTTGTGAAGTTCTTATGTAATCAATTTTAGATAATACCAAGTCCATCGATAAAAACAAACACAATATTTTCAGCAGTTATGTAGGTATCTATAGGTATCTCCCAATGTCAATACCTCTCTACGGCATGTTATCACATTGTTGTACGTCCTTTTCTGTTGATGTCTGGGGGCTATCGTTATAACCGAAATGATACCTACATTTTTTCTGTTTACAGATCATCCCCTGGCAACTACACGGCTAGAAACGACCCCCGGGGCAGCCCAGCGACGACAACTCGCCGAGAGCATCCCTGTGCCAGTCGCCGGACGCTGTCAGCCACAAGAACTCCATCAATTGGAGAGCCACACGCAGGTCCAGTGCCTGGCCCGCTCAGCCGCTCAAGTAACGGGTGGTCAGTATGAAACTGGACAAAAGTTGATTAGGCATAGCATCTCCAATTATAGACATATTTTAATTATTTTTGGCAGGTGAATACTTCCATTTATTTTATATTAGCAGCTCAGATTTCAACTTTCTGCTATTAACTAGTAAGAAACATTGCACCGGTAAGTCAGCAAGCGTTCCGGGACCTGTTCGCGCAAGTTTTTGAAAATAATACAAATTACAAAAATGCTAGCATTATGCGTCACATTACGCTATAGAATGTCACCAGATCTTAAGAATATGTGATCATCGATAAGTTCTGAGAGCTTGCAGATGTTTTACATGGCGGGAACGGCACGGTCACCAGAAAAATGTCCATTCAGCTCCGGAAGAAACAACCCGGCGCCGTCACCGAACAGTTGGGGCTCTACTTGTGATCTCTGGGAAGAAATCTTGGAATCTTCAAAACATATGACCAATCAATGTGTCAAAAAGCAGGAATCAGGTACAAAAATAGGATAAAGGTGCCGGAGGCACAATTTCGTACGCAGAAAACCCGCCTGCGCCGTCTGTCACAGAGTCTAATGCAGGGTAGCAAAAACATGGAGGTGCATATGGACGAAGAATCTTACTTCACCTGCAGTGGCAGCAAAATGCCCTCCATTGCCGAATTTTACACCTCAGCTGGTGAAGACACTATTCCATATGTGGATCTCACCTTCGCTTTCGACCTGGGAGCCAGTACCCACCCGAGATGCCCGTCTGGCTTGCCATGAGTCCGAGGGGACCACGCGTCCAATTACTTGCCGAGCGCAGGCAATGTAACGGGCGAAGTGTACTATGAAAAGTGTTTGAATGGCGTGTTGTTACCACTAATTGAGTCTCAGAACACAGATCACGATGCTCTGTTAGGCTCCGACCTTCAACAGCCACAGTACGCGCGCTAGACCACGAAACTTCTTGAGGAGGCTGGGGTGCCCGTAGTAGCACGTGACATGAACCCGCCATGCACCCCTCAGATCTGACCCATTTAGGATATGTGGGGGCTCATCAAACAGAACGTGTATAAAGGAAGGTGGCAGGTCAGCTGAGACGAACAATTAAAGTGGAGAATCCAGCAGGCTATCCGTCAAATCGACCCGGAGGTGCCGCGAAAGACAATAGTGGGGCTGTCAGCGCGCGTGCGCTTGGCGGCTGACAGAGGTCCAGTGTCGCAGATCCACTAGGCCGAGCGTGATTGCAATAAAATGAAGGCACGGTAACGCGATTTTCGTTGCTTTCGCTTGAATACTTTTGACACAGTAACAATTCAAACTTTGTCCAGTTTCATACTGACCACCCGTTACTTGAGTCGCATTACCTTACAACGCTTTCATCTTTTGTCTGATATCGATACAATAAGAGAGCGGCACTAAATACACCTGAGTCGTCTTGTGCAACAGACGGGCGGCTGGCCAGCCATGTCGATAGCAATTAGCTGGCCCCTGGTGACACTGCTGGCTGTCTGCCATCTGGTGGTGGCCTCGGGAACTGTTCGGGTTGACCAGACCGGTCCGCAGGCGAGTCACGGTCAACCAGTACCGGGAGAGAACTGCTCCTGTAAGGCAGATGAAGCCAACAAGATGGGTATCAAAATCGGTAAGTGGTCAGCTAACTAGTTTCGTATTTCGTTAATAAATTTAGACCACCCATGTCCCATAATTTTTACAAATGGAAAGTAATAAATTTGAATGTTATTTATTTGAGTAATTTTGGATTCAGCCTTTTTAACGTTCCCAAGATTGATTGGCGGTAAGCACGTAGGTACTAGGCTTCGATATTTGCATAGGCTGCCTGCAGTAGGTTTACCCTGCGAACAGTCATGAGTCATTATGCACAGCACTCACTCAAATATTACCAACACTGTACTATGTTACATCGCCACCTTTCTCCGTCCGCCAGGGTTCCTGTTCTCTTATATCACCAACAAGGTGATTCTGGGCGCCATTCCATTGGCTGTCCACGAAGTCAACGAAAACCCCAGCCTTCTGCCGGGTATTCATCTGGATTTTGTACCGGCAGACACCGGCGATGCTACCAGGGGTCGACATAAGGTAAGCCGGGGGGTCAGGGGCTCCCATAGGGTATGTCAGGCGGCCCATGGATAGGTCATGGTTTCCATAGGGTAGCTCGGGGTCAGTGGATCTTAACCCGCGCCCCACTGGGGTCTGTGTATAACACGCCCTACTGGGGGGGGGGGGGGGGGCTATTCATAGCCCCCCCTCCTAACTCCGAAACTACTGGGCCGATCGTCAAAATTCAAACGGCGTCTGATAGCCCCGGAAAAACTGTCGAGCGAAACCTAATTTCATTGACCTCGAGGTCACCGATGACGTCACAGGTCAGGTCAAAGTAAAAACTATTAGCACTTTGGCTTGTTCACATTTTGGGCTCTGGCCGCCGTCTTACAAGTCAGATCAGGCTCATTTTTGGTTTCCACACTCGTGAACAGATGCTCTAGATACCTTGAGGGTACCAAACTTGTACTTTGATTTTCAGGTCAGGGTCAGGTCATCACAGGTCACGAAAATATTATATCATGCGTCGGTCACGTGACACATGTTTTATGGTCCATTTAGGCCATAGATTTCGAATTTGATGTCGTCTGTGTCATTCAAGGTCATTTTGAGTCGAAATTAGCTTAGGTCAGGTCACTTTCAGGTCAAAAAAGGTCAAATTTTGAAGTTGAAATTTTTCAACAAAAAAGGTGTCTATTGGATGCAGTTTGAGCTCAGGAACACGATGGTGCCATTTATATTGGTGTACGATGCCAAATACGTACTGAAAAATGGATTTGAAAAATTAATAATTGTGAATTTTTGCAATAATGCGTATAACTTGGCCATTTTTGCAGACATTTAGCTAAAACTTGCTAGAGTTAGTCATAATCATGCGTTTTGTCACATATATTCCGGTTTTTTCGAAAAGTCAAAAACTTTTTGAAAAAATCATAAAAATATAAATTTTGAATATTATTATATACAATTTTCGAAATTTTCAAAATTTTGAAAATCCGAGATAGCAGTTTGATAGCACGGTCAATTCTGAGTCCTTTCATGCAAAGAAATTGGATCTAGCTTAAAAACTGAGCTCTTGGGAGCGATTGCCGTGGTTCAATGTTTTGCGTCGAAATCGGACGAACATGACGTCACTCTGACGTCATTTCCGGCCGACCTATGGTAGCTACGAAGTTCAAATTTTGACACAAGGTGTCAAATTGATGCAGCCGAAGGTCCTGAAAGTTTGGCATCGATTCGTCAAGCGGTTTGGAAGTTATTGCAGAAAAACGGGAGGGGGGGCTATAAATAGCCCCCCCCCCCCAGTGGGGCGCGGGCTATAGGATAGGTAAGGGGCTCAAGGGCTCCCATGGGGTAGGTCAGGGGTCGGGAACTCCCACAGGGTAAGTCAGGGGTTAGGGCCCCTGTGGTGAGTCAGATGCCAGAAGTCAACAAAGCGTGGGGTGTGTTGGGGAAACTGGGTTCGCATAGTAACAGTCTAGGGACAGTGGCGTATCCAGGGGGAGGCCAAGAGGCCATGGCCTCCCCCTTTGGGATCAGACATGCAAGTGGGCCCTTTGGGTCACTTGAGTGCAGTGACGTACCCAAGGGGGCCACGGGGGCCCCTGAGGTCGAAGGATAACTCAGGGGGACCAGCGTGACGAAGGCGTTCTGGGTCTCCCTGCCTTAATTCCAGTACTAGACAGAACGTCTTTTACTCGGAAGAAAACCTAATATCAAAGAGCGATATATATCACAGTGACGAACACAGAGGGCCCCTAACTACCTGAGAGCCCCTGGCTACTTGAGGGGCCCCCTGGTCATCTGAGGAGCCCCTGGTTATCTGACGAGCCCTAGTTACCTGAGGGGCCCCTGGTTATCTGAGGGGTCCCTGGTTGTCTGAGAGGTGCCTGGTTGTCTAAGGGACCCCCTGGCTACCCCAGGGGCCCCTGGTCACCTGAGGGGCCCCTGGTTATCTGAGGGGCCCTGGTTACCTGAGAGGCCCTGGTCACGGGACCCCTGTTTACCTGAGGGGCCCCTGGTTACCTGAGGGCCCCTGGTTATCTGAAGAACTCCTGGTAAAGAACCCCTGGTTACCAGGGCCCCTGGTTCTGAGGGGTCCCTGGTTACCAGAGGGGCCTCTGGTTACCTGAGGGGCCCCTGGTTATCTGAGGGGCCCGTAGTTACCCAAGGGGCCCCTGATCCCCTGGATGGCCCCTGGCCAGTCATCTGAAGAAGCCCTGGTCACCTGAGGGCCCATGTTTACCCAGGGAGTACCTGGTTATCTGAAGGGCCTCTGCAGTCACACGAAGGCCCTTATAGTTGCCCCTGGTTTAACCGGCCCCTGATTATCAGAGGGTCCCATGGTCACGGTAACCTGGTCGGCCCCTGATCAATTGAAAAGCCCCTGCAGTCACCTGAGAGGCCCCTGATTACCTAAAGGGCCCCTGATCACTTGGGTTCAATGGCATAGCCAGGGGGCGAGGGGACACGTGTCCGTTATATGGTTTAGGGTCTCCTCGGGCCCGAGGGGCCCTACGGTGCCAATTGACATCAGAGAGACCGCCCTGGCCACGCTTCAACTGGAAAGGAGTGAAAGGACATCACGGGGCTTTTGAGAACACGTCATGGGCATAGACCCGGGAACAGGGGGGGCAGCGGGGGCGCTTGCCCCCCCAACTTGAGAGCCGAGGGGGCGGCGCCCCCTCAACATTGAGGCAGCGAGAAAGGATCTTTTCTCCCTTTTCCGAACTTCTTTCCTTCTTGTTTTCTTTATACATCTAAACATCAACACACGGCATTTTACCTTGCCATCTGAATGGTTTCTGCTGATACAGTATCGATTTGACAACATGCTATTGTCATCCCGCTTTGGTTTGGGCCTGACCTTGGCCATTAGTTTGGCAGTCCAGATTTTATACTGGACCATTTTGAGTCAACTTTGAGAAATACTTAAAGCACAACGGTGGTAAAATCGTTGCTATAGGTATATCACAGTTAACCCGCTCCGGGTGTGAGGGAGGGGTGTGGGGCAATGCCGTGCACTGACGTGGCGCCCTTGGAGGGCCGGTATGGGATTAAAGCACAGCGACACCCTAAGGACTTATGTCGTGCCTTCGGTTACCGGTAGCACCCTCAGAATCACCAGCGTAGGGCCCTCAGAGCCGCCGGTAAGGGGCCTTTAGAGGCACTGGTGTGGGGCCGCGCATGCAGGTGTCGGTGTGGGCGCTCAGAGGTGCTAGTGTGATTCACTCATAGGCGCCGGTGAGGGTCCTTACAGGCGTTGCTGTGGGCCCTCATAGACGCTGCTGTGGAGCCGTTACAGACGGGTGTGGGGCCCTTAGAGGCAGAGCTGCTGACGCGAACCCTCTATAAGCCAGCAGGAGGTCTCAGTGACCGGCAAGGGGCCCTTAGGCCGGCAGAAAAAGTAATGTGGATTGTGGGGTCCTTAGAGACCGGAATGGTACCTACTGTCAGACGCCGATGGGGCCCTCAGAGTCACCGGTGTGGGGCCCTCAAAAGTCACCAGTGGGTGGCCTTTAGATGCACAGGTGTTGGTTGGGTCCTCAGGGTCGCCGATATTGGGCTTTAATAGGCACTGGCCACTGGTGTAGGCACTCAGAGTTGGGGTGTGAAACCCTCAGAGACACCGGTGTGGGCCCTCATAAGCGCCAATGAGGGCCCCCATAGTTGCCGTTATGGCGCCCTCAGAAAAATAAGTGTGGGACCATCACAGGTGGGAAATGCCCCTAGAACTGGCCCCTCATAGGCCGGTAAGAACTCTCAGAGGCCTGTAACGGGCCTTTGGAGACCACCAAGGGGCCCTTAAAAGCCACAAGAGGCCCTCAGAAGCCGGTGTGGGGCCCTTATGGAGATCTTAGTGAGGCTATTTAGGGCCCATGAAGTGTTCTAACGAGCCCAATGGGGCCCTTCTGAGTCGAAATATGGCCATCGTTAACCCTCAGCGGTCAAATGGCGCCGCAGGGCCTCTTGGACCCGAGGGTCCCTTTGAACCCGGTGGGGGGGGGGGGGGTACGTGTCCCCTTAGACCTCTAGCTACGCCACTGTTTCATATGCATCATGTCAGGTATTTTTGGCTCGCCCCCCCCCAACTTGAAAATCGTTCCCGGGCCCCTGGTCATGGGCTCTTATGTAGCCACACTTATATCCAGAAGGGGTCCACCCCAGGTTCTGAAAGACCTTGCCGGCCTCTGAGGGTCCTTGAAGGCTAATGAGGGATCAGCTGTAAGGGCCCCACACGTGTTTGTTGTGCCCCCACGGCCCACACCAGTGTTTCTGAGGGCCCTCACAATGGCGCCTGGGAGGGCCCTCACCGCCACAAGGGCCCCACACCAGCGCCTTTTAACGGCCTACATCGGCGGCTCTGAAGGCCCGCTCACCGGCGCCTCCGAGGGCCTTATACCAGCGCATCTAACGGCCACTTACCAGCGACTCTAAGGGCCTCTTACCGGCATCTCAGGTTCCCTTGCCGGCCTATGAAGGGCCACTAGTAACTTTCAGGGCCACATACTTGCCTTTGAAGGCCCCTACCAGCGTCTCTAAGCCCTAAGGCCCCCACAACGGCGCCTGTGTGAACCCCACACCAGCGCATCTGAAGGCCTTTCATAGACACGTCTGAGGGACCAACACCGGCGACTCTGAGGGCCGAGGGGCTCGCTCGCTTCGCTTCTTCATAAAAGACCGTGCATTTTATGCACATTTCTCAGGCAAAATGATACTTTTACCTGCCAATTTCCTACATTTTCTCAGGGCTTAGACAGACAGACAGGCAGACAGTGAGACAGATAGGCAGAGGGGCCCGTCCGCAAGGGGACCGGACCCACTGTGCCCAATCCCCCCCATCGAAATGTTCTAGATACGTCCCTGCCTGGGTTGACAGTGGCCCCCAGGTAACCTGGGGCCCTTCGAGAGCAAGTTGCCCCCTCCTGAGTGAAATCCTGGGTACGTGCATGCTTGGGTGTCCCAAGAGAAACGACATCCAGGGCCTTATCCGAAGTACTGGCCCAAATTTAAATAAAGTCATTACGACATTATGTCATTAAATAAAGTCAACTACGTCAAAGTATCTTAAATTTGCCGTTTGATGGCCCTCAGAGGCCGGCGTAGGGCCCTCATAGGCCGTCTCAGGGCCCTCAGAGGCTTAGGCCGAGCCCCAGAGGCTAAGCGTAGGGGCCCTCAGAGGCCGCTTCAGCGGTCCTACAGAAGCTTAGACTTGGGCGTGGGACTCTTTGAAGCTGGCGTGGAACCCTAAGGAGCCAGCGCGTAGCCCTCTAAGGCCAGCCGAGTAGCCCTCTAAGGCCAGCGTGGAGCCCTCTAAGTTCATTGTGGGACTTTCTAAGGCCAGTGTGGGACCCTCATGTTCAGTGTGTGGCTGTCTATGTCCAGCTTGGGGTCTTCTAAGCCCAGCGGCGTGGGGCCTTCTGAAGTCAGTTTGAGGCCCACTGGCCACTGAGACCAGCTTGGGGCCCTCTGAAGACAATGTGGAGCCCTCTGAGGCCAATGTGAGGCCCTCTGTGACCAGCGTGGGGCCAGCTGTCATCTGATTTCAGACGCTGGTGCTGGACCCTCAGAAGCCAGCACGGGGCCTTCATAGGCTGGCGTCGGGCCATTAGAGGCCACTTCGAGGGCCTCGGCAGCCATACTTCAGATCTTATGCATGTTTGAGCCCCCTGAGGTAGGAGTGGCCCCTAGAAGCCGGCGCGGAACCCTCAGAGGGCAGCATGGGCTTCTAGAGACCGGCGTGGGTTAGAGAGCGGCATAGGGCCACCAGACTGACTCAAAGGCTCCAAAGAGCCAGCGTGGGGCCCTGGGAGGTCAGCAATAGCATGGGTCTCCTGAGGCCATTATGGGGCCGGCTGAGGCCAGAGTCGTTCACTCTGTTGCCGAAGAGGGACTTTCAGAGGCCAGAATGAGCCTTTAGAGTTTTTAGATTGCCAAGTGTGCCTAAAAAGGCTCCCTCACATGGCGAAAGTGGCAAAGAACCGCACCTGTGCGTGGGTTAAGTATGCTATCACTGGGGCCCCTAAGGTAAGGGTGGGGCCCCTTGAGCAGGTTCGGCCTCCCCCTTTTCAAGAGCCTGGATACGCCACTGTCTAGGGAAGAGATGTATGCAGTCAGCACAGATGTGTTGGGAAGGGGTTGGACTGGTCAGGGGTCAGCACAGGATGGAAGGATTCAATGAATTGTATAACTAGTGATGGCCTAATGGTTGACAAATGTATTCAACCGACCGCCACACAAACTATCCATATAAGGCATGTATGTATGCATGTATGCCATCTCATGGACACCCAGCTCAGCTCAATTTCAGACACGTGAGCTACATGTCAGTGTATATTACACACACGCTCTGTGGGTCATTCCTGAAATGGTCAATATTAGCGTACTTACGCTTGACGGACGGACTCTGTAGTGTCAACTGATATTGGCTGGCTCCCAGAAGACTGGTGGAGACTTGAGCACAATACACAATTGAATAAGATCATTCAGTGGAAAGTATCATCAAAGTGCACAAATTCGGTAGCCATGGAAAATCAATTGCGCTTGTGTTAACCCTATTCCTGGCGGGGGGGGGGGGGGGCCTCAGGAGCCCCCCCCCTTGAGGTTTTTTGGTTATTTCTCCCAAACGCGTTGAGCTAGGAAGCTCAAATTTTCTGACTTTTCCTAAAAGGCTTCTACGCAACATGTCTGAAAATTTTGAGTTGATCTGACCTCAGGTCAGGTCACCAGAGGCGGTTTGGTGACCCTACCTCAGAAAAGTTTGCAATCACGCCAGAGCTAGAGTTTTTGACCGATCAATTTCTTCTCTTCAGGCTTTAGTTAGGGTACCACTATGTGCAATTTGTATATCTCGGAATTTTGATATCGGTGACCTAAGGTCAGGTCAGTTTCGCGACCTCCCCATTATAAGTCAATGGGGGAAAAATCAACTCCCTGTTTTTACCACTAAAACGGGTCGGAATGGCCCCATATACCATACATGACTTCATATACGATCAACCTTCACTACCTTGAGGTCTGTTTTGCTGTTGGGCAGCTGTGAGGTCATGTGACGTCATCAAAGGTCACCAAAGGTTTTTGGCCAATAACTCCGTACAGGAACAAGATACAGACGCGTGGATGGTCTCATTGTGTTCAGCTCGTCAAGACGCATCGAATGATATGCATGATGACCTCGAGGTCACGTGACCTGAGGTCAACCTTTGACCTTGACCTTGCGAGGTCAACATATATATCATTCGATGCGGATTGACGAGAGGATCACGATGATGCCCTTAGTTTGTTCCTATCTTGACTAATTCGAAAGTTATTCGAGAAAAACTCTCTCCATATCTAGCGCCGCCATTTTGACTTTTTCGACCCCTGTGACGTCATCTTTGACCTGACCTGAAAATGACCTTTGTAAAAATTGTAGATCTTGACCGTGCGTATCCGATGCCGTTTACCGTTTGTCGCTATCTTGCTTCGTTCTCGAGATCTCAGGGGGGGGCCGAATCGGCCCCCCCCCCCGCCAGTTTCTTGTCCCGGCGGAGCCCGCCAGGAATAGGTTTAAGTGACAGCCAATACTGAGAACCGTCAGCAGGTGTGTATGGGAGTAGATAGCGCCAATAGTTACAGGCGGGATCATGCCAGCGACGACTAGCAATAAACCTACCTGCAGCGAGTGAAATCGCTGATAACTTTTCAGACGATTGATGACGGATGCAGTCAATTGAAAACCCTTCCAGTGATTGCCGTAGTCATGATACAAGCAAATAACGGCAATTTCATGCCTGCTTTGAAGTTTCTTGCGTATTTAAATTTATCTAAGTTGTTTTTATGATTTATAAAAGTGCACCTTGGCGAAAAAATAAGAATGAGATAAATAAATATAAAAATACACTAATGACTCGCACATTCTCTAAAGGTTAAGACTAATTGCGAGTCTCCTTGAAGCCCTCAATCGATTAGGCTGATATAGGCTTATGGCGGGATTGATACCGGCGTCAACTGTTCAGCCCGACAGTGGCTGACTTTTCCCCTCCATCAGTTTCCACTAGACTCTATCTCATGGTCTGGCGACTCATTCACTCTGTCTCAATCTGGCAGAGGCTGGCTCCTCCCTCTTTCCCAAACCATGTTTACGAACAGCTTCGGACTGCGGATCGCTCGGCTGAAATCTGTTCCCGGGGGTCCTTCCCTGTCCACCTCGCTGAGCTGATGACGCCCCTCCCCGTCCCCAGTCGCGCGCCATCCAGCGGATGACGACCATGCGCGATGATGGCGTGATGGCGTTCATCGGGCCCGGAGAGTCGTGCGTCAACGAGGCGCTGGTGGCCGCCGCCTGGAACCTGCCGCTCATCACATACGTGAGTGCCTCATGATCACACACTGCTGTCCTCAGTCTTATACGATGTCCTGCTTTGCTTGTCACAAATCACAATTATGCATATGCTCGGCGCTCGCATACTTGATTAGTCAATCCTGGTTAGATATGATAAATACGGTACTTCGTTAGGTAATTGTTATCATTTTCTGGTCACCAGTAGTCAATCCTGAGCCAAATCTGGTGAAATGCCGTATCCCTTTGCTAATCATGACATTTGGTAGCATTTTCAGTGATGCAGGTCCTGACATGTGTGTAATGTGCCAATGCATTAACACCATTGTAAGAAACAAAGAAATCGGCAAAAACTTTCAAAGTATGGAAACATATGGCCGCAATGTTCTTGAAGGTCGGAGTGAAAAGAGTTGGTTGTTTATCATTAATGGATAACTACTCGAAGGACCGAAAAGAGAACTATAATGACAAACATTGAATAAGGCTGTGAGGCAATTTGAGCCGTTTTGTTCTAGTTTGTTCATGTATTCGTGCTGCTTTGTGATGCCCGCCTGGTAGAATGGAATGCAAAAGTAGCCTTGTGTTTTTAAGAAAGGAGGATTATAAACCACGTGCTTTCCTCTACCACGTTCATAAATCACGAGCAAATTGAACACAGATGCCGACAGACCTGAGTGTAATTTTGGTTGCGCTGTAAATCATGATATGCCGTCAGAATCCGTGGCAAAAGCAGTCCGCTGACAATTAAAAATAAACAAGAAATGGTACCGTGAGTTTATGGAATGTTGACAAAACAACTATAAGTAGGCATAAAACATTATCAAAATAATCATCTTATTGTCTTTTTGAGTCACACAATGATACAGCATAAGTGTTTTAGTAACATGATTGTAATTATCAGTAGATACAGTAAGTAATTTTACCGTAGTAGGTATACGCAGTTATCTAGATTTGTATATGTTGCAGGCACTTTAGAAAATCAGTCATTTTGTAAAAAAGACGGCTGTTTGAAAAATGACTGAACGCAACCAGGCTTTTTTCAAAATGGCTAGCCATTTTACAAAATGACTAGGCATTTTGCAAAATGCCTGACCAGCATGGAACGTAGATCCCACTACAGATACTATGGCCAACAGCTTTTGGACGTCTTCCTATACCCTATAGGTACGTGTTCAGCCTGTAGCTGATCGATTTGAAGCTCTGTGATGACGACAATGCTGAGTAACGACCAGGCTGAGTTGCAGACTCGGCTGTAGCATAAAGCATTGTTTAGTTAACGCTGTAAAAACTCCCAAGTACATCAACGCCGTTCATGTTCTGCCTGAAACTAGACCTAACAAACCAGCCGGAGACCGGCCCTAGTCAATAGGCAGGCCCGGTTGATGTACAATTACATGTAAACGAATGAGTGTAGTCTTTGTTTGATTGTGCCATTACGGACAAAACTGCATTATGTATTTGGACATTAAAAACACGTTCCAATTTAATTTTAATTTCCCACTCCCTCTCTATCATCCTCACATTTTAAACGCGAAGTGGAAGGGGGGGGGGGCGGATTCCGCCCACCCCTCCTGTTTTTCGCCAATAACTCACGCCGCAAGCATGATATTAATGTGAAATTTTGGCTACCTGCCCAGAATTGAACTGCGGATCTTCTCGTGTAAGAAATAAGAAAATCAGGTCACAACTTTTCTTGTAATAGCGATGTAAAGTCAAACATCCTGCCGCCGCGGCGGCGCGGCGGCGCGGCGGCCGGCGCTAACCGTTACGCGCCGCCTGAATTGTAGACTGTGCCGGGGCGGGATGGTTCCGTCTTTACATCGCGCTCCTCACCGCTGATTATATTCGATTCGCTTCAAATGTTGTGAGCAGGGGCGGATCCAGGAATTTTCGGGAGGGGGGGCGGCAAGTCGAAATAGGGGCGACCTGGCAATCCGGGGGCGCTCAATACAAAGGGGGCGCCAAACCGTCAAAATCGGGAGCTAAAAGCCCGCGCCGTGCTAGGGGGCGTTATCGCGCTCCCCCTCAGGTTTTTCGCATATATCTGAAAAATGGCTGCGCGCAGCGCCGCCATTTTCAGCATACCTTATCATGCATCTTTTTGCACATGTTGTAAAAATGTCTGACGCGGGTGATGGAAGGTCAGGTCACCAGGTTATGCCAAGTGACCTAGCCTAAGAAAAAGTTCAAATGCTTACCATTGCTATACCGACTGAACGATTGCTTTGAACCGTTCAGCGATTGATGAAAGCAACACTATTCATGAAATGTATATCTCGGAATTTCGATATCTGTGACCTAAGGTCAGGTCAGTTGTACGACGTCTCCATTAGGTAGGTAAGTATAATTAAGTCTTTGGGAGAAAACTGAAAGGCATCTCTTTTGGACGAGCGCCATTCTAGACAATATCAAGCATTGGGATACATATAAAATTAACACACTGAATAAGAACATTGCACCTAGTGTGACCACTCATTATGTCCTAGAGGTCATCCCATGTCATGAAAGGTCCGCAACAGTTTTTTTAATAACTTTTGATAGATTCAAGCTAGAGCGATAAAAACACCTCAGCTGTGTTCAGCTCGACGATACGCATCGACTGCTATGCAGCATGACCTTTCACGGTCAGGTCATGACCTTAACCTGAGGTCAAATTCTCAAAATTACCTTTTATAAGGTCAACCTTTAGTTTGTTCGACTTGTCTCGACGACAGAAACGCAATGCTGACAAACGTAATGTCGAGACTCTCTTGAGTCAAAAGTTATTGCAGGAAAACATTGTTCGTAAAAAGGCTATTTTTAGAGTCTTTTGCCCTCTGAAGGCTAAACCGTTGACCTGAGGTCAAATCTGAGCGCAGCTTGCAGAAACACCTTTAAAAGGGCTATCGAATGCGCTTTTTCGGCGGCGCTATAGCCTATTGGTTTCCGAGTTATGTGCCGCTGCTTCGAAAACGGAAAAATGTTGAAACAGGCCACATTTTACCTTTGATGACCTCTGGTTACCTGACATTCGACCTGACCTAAAAAATGACCGTTTTGTTTTCGTCCTGATTTTGACGATCTTTCGAATGCCGCTTATCGCGTGTCACTACGCGGCCCAGGAGCCGAGTTAGACGAGGGAGTTTGCCCCCCCCCCCTCCCCAGCAGGACACGGAAAACTCAGACCGCCAGCACGGCACGGGTTAAAAGTCGTAGGTGGGCACCGCTACCCTAGCAAAAGATATTAGCAAAAAGGTGGCCTCCATTTACTGGTGCAGTCCTTCTTCTCCCGGTGATGCCCCTCCTTTTTCTGGAAGCGTCTCACTTATGCTGGTATGCCTCACTTCCCGGGGGCGCCCAACCTCTGCTTGGATCGCCTAATCCATTATGGAGAGACCCAGTTTGCTTAAGTCGCCTCATTTCTTCCTTCTAAGAACGACCAATTTGCTGTAGGCGGCCCACTTATCTGGGACGCCCATCTTCTGCTAGAAGTGCCCTTCTTCTTCCTGATGCGTCCCACTTCTACTACGAGTGCACCTTTTCTGTTAGGGCGCCCCTTTGCTGCTGAGGAGTCTTTTTTCTACTGTGAATAGGGCGGCCCTCTCCTGTTGGGCGACCCCAAATTCTGCTGGAGGCGCCCCACTTCTGCCCAACTTTTGGTGGGGTGCCCCTCTCTAGCAGGGGCATTTCTCTTTTGCTGGAGACGCCACTCTTGTGGGGGCGCCCTTCCACTGCGGGGAACGTCTCTCTTCTGCCAGAAGCACCCCTTTTCTTCTTATGGGGCTCCAGTTTTTTTTTCTGGGGCGAGGCGACCCTCTGCTGCTCGGAACGGGGCACACCTCTCTTTTACTGGGGCACCGCCCCTCTGCCCTTCCGCTGTCGTCAGGGGCGCCCCTCTTGGTAGAATATACTCCTTTTCTTTTTGTAATGGGGCGCCCCTCTTCTACCGGGGCGCCCATCTGCTGCTGGGGCGTCTGTCTTCTGCCGGATATTGTCAATGGGGCGCCCATATCCTGTTTGGCGGGCCCAACCTCTGCTGGAGGCTCCCTATTTCTGATTAACTTTTGCTGTGGCGCCTCTCTTCTGCTGGGGCGCCCCTCTTCTGCTTGGGGCGCCCGTCTCCTGCTGGAGACCCCTCTCTTCTGCTGGGGCGCCCCTCTTCTGCCAGTGGCACCCATTTTCTTATTATGGGGCTCCTTTTTTTGCTGGGGCGCCCAGCTGCTGTCAGGGCGCCCCTCTTCTCGGAATGGGGGCGCCTCTCTCCTTTTGCTGGGGCGTCGCTCCTCTTCAGGGGGACACGTCTCCTGCTAAGGGTGCCCTTCCGCTGCCAGGGGCGCCCCTCTTGAACAGAAGGTATTTTATATTCTTGTAACGAGACGCCCTCTTCTGCTGGGGGCGCCCATCTGCTGCTGGGGCGACTCTCATCTGCTGGGAATAGGCAATTGGGCATCACTCTCCTGCTTGGTGAGCCCAACTTCTTCTGGAGGCGCCCTATTTCTGCTGAACCTTTGCTGTTTCGCCGCCCTTCTGCTCGGGGCGCCCTCTCTGCCGCGGGATATGGGCGCCTTTTTCGGATGGCGGGGGGGGGGGGGCGGCCGCCCCCGTCGCCCCCCCCCCCTGGATCCGCGCCTGGTTGTGAGAAGCCATGACTTACCTTCCTTACAGCCATGACTTACCATGGATGACCTTAATAAAAGTCTGTATCTGTATCTGTATCTGTAGAAGACTAAGAAATGTACAGGCAATCTCATGGTCAAAGAATTTTGAAAATCAACCGGTAACAACTTGAGTTATGAGTGTGTAAACACAAACTTGTGATTGCCGCGTTTCCCGAGTCGGCCGATCCCGCTTCAGCCGGCGACATCTTACCCTTAGCAGGCTTCTAGCTGCCATATTTGTTGTTGGATTAACTAGAAATTCACCATACATACAAATGTATATTCTTTCGTATAGTGAAAGAAAAAAGAAAATCGGCCGGTAACTTTTGGAGTTATCGGCGTGTCACTAACGCCTAAGTGTGTGGGATCGAATCCTCGCGACCTCTAATAG